GAGAGCATGGCGTAATTTGGATATATTTTTAAGATGAAAAATACGGTTTTACAGATACTAGACATGTGACTTTCAAATGAAAGATTGGTATCAAAGAGCACACCCAGGTGTGGTTTAGAACAAATGAGTAACAGAATGTGAACATTGATTGGAAATGAAATTTCTTATGATGCATATTTGGAAAAGATATTACAAGAGGAATGGCAGATAGCAGCAGTTCCTTTGTTTCCAGCAGCATAGCAGTCATCCTAGATGCATGCCAGTTTTAGACGAGTTTAGGCAGTTTGTTTACTCTCTGTATATTGTAATGGAATTCCTTTACTAAATGCTGATCACATTTCTCTAACCATTAGACTTCCACTGTAAGTGTATTACTGCTCAGACGGTTTCCTTCGTTTTTACAAACATTCTTAATATTTTATTTTTATCTGCCTGCTTTGACAACATTGTATGAGAACTGAACTCATTCACAATTAACAAATTGCATTAACAATTTACTGATTCAATTACAGGAGTATAGGAACTATAAAAGGTACAATAACAGGAACTACCTGTTCATCCAAACAATTGAAGGGGAGTATATGGGTGCTATTTGAAAACGGGCATTATTTATGTGGTTCTGTTTGGTGCCACTAGTTAAATTATACACTCCAGTTTTCAGATATTACATGTACTATACTTCCATCCCTCACAGTGTCGTTTCTACTCCAAAGTTTATAATGTTGGATACCCTATTGGATTGAAAAGTCCAGTCTGGCCAATGCAATCTGGCATTTCAGCATGATTGGTTTCTGCCTGTCCAAGAGCAACATTGAGTCTCAGTAACTCAGAAAAGCTAACACTCGAGCTCATTTAAAGATTTTATTGTACTTTTAAGTTTCACATTAATTTAATTTAACTAAATAAAATAACCTTAAAGCCTTACGTAGCTGTACCTTGGATTAATTATTTGAGAATTGTCTCTTTTTTTCTTCTTCAAAAAGCCATTTGTTGGATGACTCTACTTCTTATGACTTTGCCCATTAATATGATTTGTGCACTTTGCTCTACATTACTTTGATGAAAGTGTCTCTTTAGAACAGTTATTTAGTTATACTCAGAGAGGTATTGGCAAGAGCAAGTAGTAATGTTATTGTAGTGGCTGTACATGAAAAACTGTAATAGATTTATGTGGTAGAATTTTAACTACATTTTCCATGCATGAAATCTGAAACAGATTTCCATGTGTGTATTGGTGTGCTAGATCCAGTATTCACAGCTGGAGATTATCATCATTGTCATTGGTTTCAAACCTGTATGAATTTCTTTTTCCCAAATTAATAAAAGGTTATGTTCAGCAGAATGTTAGTGCCTTGATAACATTTCACATTTGTGGTAGAACTGTACGATTCTCGATAAATTGATAATCACAATTTTATTTGTTTCAAATAGAGGTTTCACAATTCTCCTACTATAGACTAATTAAAATAACGTAACTTACCAGTGGTTCTGACAAAATGTTAAGGTTGCACTTTTTATTTACCGTACGTGTGCTTACAGTTAATTTTCCTTAGAAAGTACTTTTTTCAGGGTTTTCAGGTTCAGGGTTAGCACCTAGTTATTACCCAGTTGTTGTAATTACTCTAGGAAGTACATAGTATGTACATGGGAAGAAAGGACTGTAAAATAAAGTGTAACCAATGTTAATTGCTGCAGTTGATTTAAAATGTTTAATTAATTTGAATCAATAATTTTTTTTAAATCGATTTGAATTAGGACTGCACGATTAATCGAAATGAAGAATTGTCACTTGTCGCCTGTCAATGACGTAATTTCCGCGTTATCCCTGGTTTCCGCTTGTACTGCCACAGTAACCATGGTGACAGACGTGGACAACTGGGTTACGACTAGCGGCGCGCTTACGCTGTTGTTTCGTTCAAACATTATAGACCATGGCAAGCAGACTTTGGGACAATAGTAGAAATAAAATGAGGATCAATATCAGCGTGGCGTTTTCGAGAAGCCGAGAGCTAGCGTCCGCGACTAACTTCGACTCGACAGGGACACCACTCTTGCATGTGCTTTATTAGACAGCTGAGCAAATGTACATAAAACTAATCAATGTTATATAGCTCAACATGATGAAATGTTAGAATATGATCAGTATGTTATTCTAGTGTTGATCTAGCTTAGTCTCATACAGCCAAACTAACACAAAGAATAACATTATAACTTTCAACTCACTCAAATGCAGTGTAGTGTGATAGTGTAGAGCGAGTGAAACTGCGCTGCGTTCCCTCACAATTTTAATTTGTTACATACACTGACCAGTTTGAGTAGTAATTCAGCACTTGCGGGTAGTTCGGTAGAATTAAATGTCCTCATTCTTTTATATCCGCGGGACTCGCGTGTGATATCTGTCTCTCATTAGCAATCGCGCCCTGCTTCACACCACAGTCATGTTAAAAACAAGACTGTTCTAGGTCCACGATTCCACTGATTCACTGCGTCATCAATCTACGCCTTTGTTATTGTAAGAGGTCAGCGACCCCTAGCGGCGAAAACAACGTCCTGTACACTGTGCATTTTAAAGGTTCTCTAAGCGATGTTGGGTGACGTCACTTCTTGTTGACGTTTAAAGTATTGTCAAACAAAACGGAGGCTAGCTAGACCCTCCCTCATCCGCGCACTAACCCCCCAAACCCCGCCCCCAAGTCCTTCTTGTCGGTGATTGGCTGGAACTGTTTGTCATGTTTCGGGGAGCGGGTTAGCCCAGTTTGTTTTTGTTGCTGTGTGTGGAGCCTGGGCTGTCTACAGAGACCGCGTTTCTTCACAGTGTGTTCAGGGGACAGGCAGCCAGCGGATAGTGAGGAGATGTTTGCTGTATGTGACAAAAAATGTTTTGGCCTAAAAAACGCGTGACATCGCTTAGAGCACCTTTAAATAGTTCTGCCAGCTTTATCAGGGGATGGTAAACAAGTAAATATTGTGTACGTTAAGTTGTATCTATATATTAAGTAATTGAGTAATACCTGGCTATATATTGGCATTATATGCTGAAAAACCTGTATGGGTCGACCACCGCTTTCAGTGGTACAACTCTGGAAAACTGAGCTTTTGCTTGTCATATTTTACAAATAGTGCTCACTTATTTCAGAGGCAATGTGCCGTTCTGCCTGTGGATGTGTGGTTACTCTAACTAAACACTTGCTAATAAGAGTCTCAGGCAGAACTGTGAACATATCTCACAGATCTGATTCCATGAACCTGGCAAAACTCTTCTCAAGTTTTTGTAATATCGATCTAGGGCCTTTTAAACATAATTTTTTATTTCTGGTAGACTGGCCTGACTTATCTTCATATCCTCTGTTTTGAGTTATAAATGTAAATTGAATTTTGATATAATTTTATAGCAACAGTTATATCAAAAATTCTTCACTGTTAAGGTTCATTTGAATAAGAAGACACACAGACAGAAATCTCGGGATGTTCATACACTCTTGATGTTCATACACTCTTACACGTGTCTTTCTCCTCAGGAATGTATGTTGCTCTCTCGCGTTTACTGTCATGTCTGTTTCCTTTGGGGTAACTGCAGCAACAGCTCTGGCACAGATGCATGCGAACAGAGGAACCGACTTCCTGCTGATATTTAAATGCTGCATGTATGACACTGAACCCTGAACTGTAGGGACAGGCCCGATAGAACAAACCACACACAAACACTCAGTTGTCTATCTATCTGTCTGTCTGTCTGTCTGTCTGTCTGTCTGTCTGTCTATCAGTTTGGCTATCAGTCTGTCTGTCTGTCTGTCTATCTATCTATCTCTATCTATCTCTATCTATCTCTATCTATATCTATCTCTATCTATCTCTATCTCTATCTCTATCTCTGAGTCTGTCTGTCTCTCTGTCTGTCTGTCTGTCCTATCTATCTATCTATCTATCTATCTATCTATCTATCTATCTATCTATCTATCTGTCTATCTATCTATCTATCTATCTATCTATCTATCTATCTATCTATCTGTCTATCTGTCTATCTATCTGTCTATCTATCTATCTGTCTATCTATCTATCTGTCTATCTATCTATCTATCTATCTATCTATCTGTCTATCTATCTGTCTATCTATCTATCTATCTATCTATCTATCTATCTATCTATCTATCTATCTATCTATCTATCTATCTATCTATCTGTCTATCTGTCTATCTGTCTATCTGTCTATCTATCTATCTGTCTATCTGTCTATCTATCTATCTATCTATCTATCTATCTATCTATCTGTCTATCTGTCTATCTGTCTATCTGTCTATCTGTCTATCTGTCTATCTATCTGTCTATCTGTCTATCTGTCTATCTATCTATCTGTCTATCTATCTATCTGTCTATCTATCTGTCTATCTATCTATCTATCTATCTATCTATCTATCTATCTATCTATCTATCTATCTATCTATCTATCTATCTATCTATCTATCTATCTGTCTATCTATCTATCTGTCTATCTATCTATCTGTCTATCTATCTATCTGTCTATCTATCTATCTGTCTATCTATCTGTCTATCTATCTATCTATCTGTCTATCTATCTATCTGTCTATCTGTCTATCTATCTATCTGTCTATCTATCTATCTATCTATCTATCTATCTATCTATCTATCTATCTATCTATCTATCTGTCTATCTATCTATCTGTCTATCTATCTATCGGTCTATCTATCTATCTGTCTATCTATCTATCTGTCTATCTATCTATCTGTCTATCTATCTATCTGTCTATCTATCTATCTGTCTATCTATCTGTCTATCTATCTATCTGTCTATCTATCTATCTGTCTATCTATCTATCTGTCTATCTATCTATCTATCTGTCTATCTGTCTATCTATCTATCTATCTATCTATCTATCTATCTATCTGTCTATCTATCTATCTGTCTATCTATCTATCTGTCTATCTATCTGTCTATCTATCTGTCTATCTGAAACATGAACCGTGTCTATCTCTGTTCACAGATATCGCAGTGGTTGAAATGACGGATGCGTTTCGACAGCCCTCTCTCTTCTATCACTTGGGCGTGAGAGAGAGTTTCAGCATGGTCAACAACATCATCCTTTACTGTGATCTCAACTCAGACTCGCTGCAGTCTCTTCAGGTCAGAAAGCCTTTTTTATCTCAATGTCACCAAGGTCAAAGAAGAGTCAAACGTGCATTTCATATCGTACTTTCCATATTCTACTAGTTTGAAGTTTAGAGACATGAAGAACGAGTAGTCTTCGTTTTGACTATTTTCCACATTTTAGAATAGTAGTACATTCATGAAAACTATGAGATAACACACACAGAAGTATGAGAAGTATGTAGTGATCACCAAACATGTCAACTGTTCAAAGTTCAGTCTTTTTCTAGATTGCAGACAGAGATTACAGCTCACTCTTGGCAAAGCTATATTCTGGCATGAGAAGTATTGAAAGAATTTTCTTTCTACGATTTTTAAACAACATTTTTGTAATTTTAAAAAATGCTTTGTTAGTAATATGTTGGCACAATTTACATTTGTCTGGAAAACTAAATGTAAACATGTAACATTTGCCTTTAGATCAGAAGGTTGTTTGATTCAACAACATTCCAAAATAGCAGATATCCGAGTCCTATCTCTAACACAACCTTTCCCTTCAGAATTGAAAAGCACTTTTGTGAAAAGTCGGGGAGGAGAAATGATGCAATTCCAGTGATAAGCTGATTTATTCCACATATAGCATACAACAGCAAGAACCAACAACACACACACAAACAATCAAATGCGCCTGTTCGTGGCTCGTAGCCAATCGCTTCAGTTAGACCAGATGACGAATGTAGAGCGACAGACATTATTCGAGGAGGAAGACGATGGGTCAGAGATTTCTGTGTACACGATGGCGTGTATCTAAGGCCTGGGACACACTGGCTGCATGGCGTTTGCGTGGCGTTTCTGTTGCGTGTCAGCTGCGTTGCGTTTTCTGTGTCTTTGCACACCAGAAACGTGTCTGACGCGGCGCCGCTGCTGCTAGGTGATGTACAGGGAGGACGTATTGTGGAAGCCCTATACTTCATGTTAAGCATAAATATAAAGCCTACTGATAAAGACACTGTCAGCAGTATTGACAGCAAAATAGCCTACATAATATTTCGTTCTGTATTGACAGGTGCAATATTTGAAAATTGATCATTATTTATTTTTAAATTATATGTATATCTGAATTTGTCAAAACCTAGACTTTCAACCATCAAAATGTAATTTATTAGTATTTATTCGTGTACAAAATAACATATAAACACATTTTCCTATTCTATTTTCCCTGGAAACGCTTCCAACACGCTTGCGTGTCGCGTGAAAAATAGGCGTCGGTTCTATTTCTAGCATGCACGCGTTTTCCGCGCGGCTCGAGCCGCGCCTGAGACGCGCGTGTCACGCAGGCAGTGTGCAAGCTCTAACCTGTTAACATGGGAGCCGAAATAAAAACGGACACGCCACGCAGCCAGTGTGTCCCAGGCCTAACGGCCGTTTCACACCGCATGCGTGAGCGGCGTGTATTGTTTTCGGCATGCATGTTAATCAATGAGTGCATTCACACCGGGAGCAGGAGCGGCGCGCGAGCAGCAGTGAAGCGGGGGTTTCGGCGTCGAATCTGTTTTGCTGCACTGCTCACGCTCAATTAAAGTGAAAGCACACTTTTGATGGACAAAAATAAATATGATTTCACACAAAAAGTGCCTGTCTAGTGAGTTTTAACAAGAACTTGAGTAGGCAAATAAAAGAAAATAAAGACTCTAAAATATTTATAGAAGATTTAGGCTACCCAGTAAAAACTTGTTTTTAATTATTTAGTTTGGGTGAAAGTTGTGTATTATATATATATATATATATATATATATATATATATATATAAAAAACTAAAGTAAACTAGCCAGAAAATATTATATATAAACGTTATTTTAGTTTATGTAACACACAGACAGCTATAGGCTAGCACAACCCAAATCAAACCCGAGTGTGTGGTTTGTTTGTGTGTTTTGTTTTTTATCCGTGGAGTTGCAGTCTTGTAAACATATCGAAAGCATGACTGAAACTAATAGATTGGAGCCATTTTCTGGGTTGTTTTGTTGTTTAGCATTTATATGCGAATGTTGTACACCTCCCCATTACAAACCTTCAAGACTATCAATGTTATAGATGACCAACTTCTAAAAACAAATGTATAGTTGTCTTTGTAAAGAATTGCTCGCTTATATATGTAGCTTTGGAGCCGCTGCTGTGACACTGTACAAACGCTTCAGTGTGAATCCTCTCGCGCGTGCCGATGTAGTAACGCTGACGCGCTGCTCAGGTGCCGCTCACGCTGGCGGTGGGAAACGCATCGAAAGGTAACTTCGCGTTTGCTGCCATGTGGGATCCATAGGTATAAACCATAGACTGTAAAAAAAGATGGACGACGCCCTTCGCTCTCTTCCATTGGTCAGACCTGAAGCCGCCAGTGTCCCGATATGGCGCTGACATCTTGGAACTTGAGTCTGCGCAGAAGCGATCTCGGGACCAGATCAAGGCCCCGCCTTCACTCTCACAGAATCAATCGCAAGCACACGCTCCTGCACTTTTTAAAATTAATTTTAGAAATTTTGATATTAAATTTAAAGCTCCACAGTCCTCCGAAGATCCTGAAAAAAGTCTGTTGGTGCTTCAGTGTAAGAGAACCTGTCAATCACAGCTTTCAATCATGACGTCACACACCACCGCATCAAATAGCTAACTAAAAAAAACTTATTTAAAAAAAAACACTTGAAATTGCATCAGCGTGATAAAACCTACAGTAAATGACAGAAACCATATTTGAAAAAAGGATATGTGAAGTGTAATTGAATTGTTTAGTTGGTCTCACGTGCCGTTCAATAACACGGGGAGGCGGGGCTTATGAGCTATACTGGGACCGGCCACCGGGGGGCGATCGAGACTCTGGGTTTATGAGCTATACTGGGACCGGCCACCGGGGGGCGATCGAGACGCTGGGTTTATGAGCTATACTAGGACCGGCCACCGGGGGGCGATCGAGACTCTGGGTTTATGAGCTATACTGGGACCAGCCACCGGGGGGCGATCGAGACGCTTGGGCTTATGAGCTATACTGGGACCGGCCACCGGGGGGCGATCGAGGCGCTTGGGCTTATGAGCTATACTGGGACCGGCCACCGGGGGGCGATCGAGACGCTTTGGCTTATGAGCTATACTGGGACCAGCCACCGGGGGGCGATCGAGACGCTTGGGCTTATGAGCTATACTGGGACCGGCCACCGGGGGGCGATCGAGACGCTTGGGCTTATGAGCTATACTGGGACCAGCCACCGGGGGGCGATCGAGACGCTTGGGCTTATGAGCTATACTGGGACCGGCCACCGGGGGGCGATCGAGACGCTTGGGCTTATGAGCTATACTGGGACCAGCCACCGGGAGGCGATCGAGACGCTTTGGCTTCACTTTTCAGGGCTTGTGCGGCACGCTTGGTGTAAACAAACTGCTTCGGTGTGTCGCACAGACGTCGTCATCGTCTTGCTGCTCCCTCCCCGTTCTGTGATTGGTTCCCTAGCTGAGGCGAAAATCTGGATCATGGTATCCAGACTGCCTAGCAGCGCGAATAACATCGCGGTATGGGGAAACCCAGGCTAGTGTGCAGAATGAAATGGAGAAAAACATTAGCTATGTTTCCATCCAAAGTTGAGAATTTAAGAATTTAAACATTTGCGAATAAAGCACCGTTTCCTTCCAGTAAGCCGAAGAGAACAAAATCGTAATTGAATCTACATTTCAGGCATTTCAGAACAGCAGAAACAGCATTTCAGAAGCTGTGCGACGAGATCGTCCGCTGGTTATTCCAGTTAGGCTATTCCATTGCAGAGTCACAGTTTATTGATGCACATCAGGGTATTTATTCGGTAAATGTGCTTCCCTCACAGATAATGCACATGTTTTCTTATCAATTGAGCCCATACGTTTTTTTTTATGCACTTTTTTAGAATTTATGCACATTTATGCAATATCCCAAAATTCGCATAAAAATAGGTGGACGGAAACATTGCTAGTGACAAAACAGTAGACAAACAAAAAGCTTTGATGTGAAGTGGCAGCTATTATAGACAAACTTTGGGCTGTGCAACGATTTGGACTGAATGAGCCAAAAACACCCTGATCGAGTGCATATTTGCACTAACAAGCATCGGTCAATACTGAAGCCAGTTTCTCAAAACTCTCCATACAATCTGTATTACCAAGATGACTCTTGTCCAAACAGTTAATCTCAACTCAAAACTCACTCAGACCCAGGCCAGCTGACAGTCTTGCCTGGGCCCGGGACAAGATTTTAGATGGGCCCCCATCTTTCTTTTCTGTCATAGCCTACTGCAGTTCTTGTTAAAACACACTAGACATGCAAAATCTGTGCATTTGGGCACTTTTTGTGTGAAATCATATTTATTTTTTTGTCCATCAAAACTATGCTTTCACTTTTAATTAAGCATGAGCAGCGCAGCAAAACTCAGATCTGGCCCATTATCTGTTCACCGATGCCGACAGTGACGCATTTCAGCCGGCTTTTTATTTCTCATTTCCAATAAATATATCTAGTAGTAAAGCTAATGCAAGGGCTAGAAATCAATGAATTCTTTGCTAATACTTCCTCGTCATCATGGAGAGCGCAGTTCGCACCGCTTTCTCCTTTCCACAAGCGCTTGGCGTCCCGTGGCGTCTGTCGTTGCTATGCAACAATGAAAAACGAGCGCGCCGCGGCTATTATTAGCTAATATCCTAAATATTTCCATATGTGGCTCTTTCCTCATTTCTTATCAACAAGTGGATTTACAACCACCACATCAGCAGCACCGCCGGTCGCCATGTCTCAGCGCTTTTATGAAGATGACGCAACTGCACGCGCTTCAGGCATGCACGCGCATCAAGTACTGTTCTGGGCCCCCCCCCTTACCCTGGGCCCGGGACAACAGACCCGTTTGTCCCCCCCTGTCGGCGGGCCTGCTCAGACCAACAAAACACTGCATATACGTCTCAAAATAAGCTCGCTCCACCATAACACTGGCAACAATTCATATTCAGAAAACATACATGTCATTCAA